AAGATTTTTGCATCTATGTTCATCATGGATATTGGCCTGAAGTTTTATTTTCTTGTTGAGTCTCTACCGGGTTTTGTTGTCAGGATGATGTTGGTCTCATAAAATGATTTGGGAAGGATTCCCTTTGTTTGGATTATTTGGAATAGTTTTAGAAGGAATGGAACCAGCTCCTCTTTGTGTGTCTAGTAGAATTCAGCTGTGAACCCATCTGGACCTGGCCTTTTTTGTGTGATAGGATCTTAATTGCTGCCTCGACTTCAGACCTTGTTATTGGTCTATTCATAGTTTCAACTTCTTCCTGGTTTAGGCTTCGGTGGACGCATGTGTCCAGGAATTTATTCATTTCTTCCAGGTTTACTAGTTTATGTGCATAGTGTTGTTTGTAATATTCTCTGATGATGTTTTGAATTTCTGTGAAGTCTGTGGTGATTTTCCCTTTATCGTTTTTTATTGCATCTATTTGGTTGTTCTCTCTTTTCTTTTTTAGCAGTCTGGCTAGTGGTCTGTCTATTTTGTTGACCTTTTCAGAAAACCAGCTCTTGGATTAATGATTTTTTGACGGGTTTTTCTTGTCTCTATCTTCTTCAGTTCTGCTCTGATCTTAGTTATTTCTTGTCTTCTGCTAGGTTTTGAGTTTTTTTGATCTTGCTCCTCTAGCTCTTTCAATTTTTGACCATAGGGTGTCAACTTTGGATCTCTGCACTCTTCTCATGTGGGCACTTATTGCTATATATTTTCTTCTGGAGACTGATTTAAATGTGTCCCAGAGATTCTGGTATGTTGTGTCTTCATTCTTGTTGGTTTTGAAGAACTTCTTTATTTCTGCCTTCATTTCATTGTTTATCCAATCAAATTCAAGAGCCAGTTGTTCAGTTTCCATGAAGCTGTGTGGTGCTGAGTTAGTTTCTGAATTCTGAGTTCTAACTTGATTGCACTATGGTCTGAGAGACTGTTTGTTATGATTTCAGTTGTTTTGCATTTGCTGAGGAGTGCTTTACTTCCAATTATATGGTCAATTTTAGAGTAGGTGTGATGTGGTGCTGAGAAGAATGTATATTCTGTGGATTTGGGGTGGAGGGTTCTGTAAATATCTATAAGGTTTGCTTGTTCCAGGTCTAAATTCAAGTCCTGGATATCCTTGTTAATTTTCTGTCTGGTTGATCTGTCTAATATTGATAGTGGAGTGTTAAAGTCTCCCACTATTATTGTGTGGGAGTCTAAGTCTCTTTGTAAGTCATTAAGAACTTGCCTTATATATCTGGGTGCTCCTGTATTGGGTTTATATATATTTAGGATCGTTAGCTCTTCTTGTTGTATCGATCCTTTTACCATTATGTAATGACCTTCTTTGTCTCTTTTGATCTTTGTTGCTTTAAAGTCTATTTTATCAGACACGAGGATTGCAACTCCTGCTTTTTTTTGCTCTCCATTTGCTTGGTAAATCTTCCTCCATCCCTTTATTTTGAGCCTTTGTGTATCCTTGCATGTGAGATGGGTTTCCTGGATACAGAACACCAATGGGTTTTGGTTTTTTATCCAATTTGCCAGTCTGTGTCTTTTGACTGGTGCATTTAGCCCATTTACATTTAGGGTTAATATTGTTATGTGTGAATTTGATACTGCCATTTTGATGCTTGCTGGCTGTTTTGCTCATTAGTTGATGCAGATTCTTCATTTTGTTGATGCTCTTTAGCATTTGGTATATTTTTGGAATGGCTGGTACTGGTTGTTCCTTTCTATGTGTAGTACCTCTTTCAGGAGCTCTTGTAGAGCCAGCCTGGTAGTGACAAAATCTCTGAGTACTTGCTTGTTTGCAAAGGATTTTATTTTCCTTCACTTATGAAGCTCAGTTTGGCTGGATATGAAATTCTGGGTTGAAAGTTCTTTTCTTTAAGGATGTTGAATATTGACCCCACTCTCTTCGGGCTTGTAGAGTTTCTGCTGAGAGATCTGCTGTGAGTCTGATGGGCTTCCCTTTGTGGGTGACCCAACCTTTCTCTCTGGCTTCCCTTAGTATTTCTCCTTCCTTTCAACCCTGGAGAATCTGATGATTATATGCCTTGGGGTTGCTCTTTTTGAGGAATATCTTTGTGGTGTCCTCTGTATTTCCTGGACTTGAATTTTGGCCTTCCTTGCTAGGTTGGGGAAGTTTTCCTGGATAATATCCTGAAGAGTATTTTCCAGCTTGGATTCATTCTCTTCGTCACATTCTGGTACACCTATCAAATGTAGGTTAGGTCTCTTCACATAGTCCCACATTTCTTGGAGACTTTGTTCATTCCTTTTTTGCTTTTTTCTCTAATCTTACTCTCCAGAGTACTCTGTATCCATTAATACTTGTCCGTCATTTACCCCTTCCCCATCCCCAAGCAATCACCAATTTCTTCTGTTTCTTTGGAACATATTCACTATGTTTTATGTAAATGGAATTTTACAATATGTGATATTTTGTGACTAGTTTCCTTTACTCAACATAATGTTTTCAAGGTTCATCCATGTTGTAGCATGTATCGGCCATTGATTTCTTTTATGGCTGAATAATATTACATTTCACGGAGGTACTACACCTTTTAAATTCATTTATCAATTGCTTGATATTTGAGTTTGGCTTTTTGGCTATTACAAATCTGCTTCTATGAACATATGTGTACAAGTTTTGTGTGAGCCTATATTTGTATTTCTTTTGGGTATATAGCTAGAAGAGGAATTACTGGGTTTTATGGAAAGATTTATGTTTAATTTTTGAGGAACTGCCACACTACTTTCTGAAGTGGCTGCACTATTTTACATTTCTACCAGCAATACATGAGGGTTCCAATTTCTCTGTATTTTTAGAAACACATGTTAGTGTCTTTTTTATTTCAACTATCGCAGTGAATGTAAAGTGGTATTTTATTGTGGTTGTGATTTGTGCTCCCCTGATCATTACTGATCTTGAGATTTTTACATACTTATTGGTCATTTGTATGTTTATTCAAATTCATTTGTGTTAGTCTGCCAGGCATATTATGAAAAACCACCGACTGAATGGCTTAAATGACAGGAATTTATCTTCTCACAGTTCTGGATGTTGGAAGTTTAAGATTGAGGTGTCGGCAGGTTTTGTTTCCCCTGAGACCTTTCTCTTTGGCTGCGGGTAACTGCTTGTCACTATGCCCTCACTTAGCCTCTGTGTATGCACCTCAAATCTCTTTCTATAAGGAAATCATATTGGATTATGACTCCACCCTTCTGACATCACTTAACCTTAATCACCTAATTATACTACATAGCTCCAAATAAAGTGAAATAAGACATTAAGGCTGCAAAATATAAGATTGGGGGCTACACAATTTAGTCTGTAACATCATTTTTAATTGAATTATATGCCATTTTCTGTTTGTGAGACAGAGTCTCACTCTATCATTCAGTCTGGAGTGCAGTGATGGAAGCATGGCTCACTGCAGCCTCGACCTCTCTGAGCTCAGGCAATCTGCCCACCTCAGTCTAAGGAGTAGCTGGAAGTACATGTGTGAGCCACCACACACTCAGCTAATTTTTTATTTTTTTATAGAGACTGAGTTTTGCCATATTGCCCAGGGTGGTCTTGAATTCCTGGGCTCAAGGGTTCTGCCCACGTTGGCCTCCCAAAGTGCTGGGAGTACAGGCGTCAGCCACCATGCCTGGTCTATATGTCATTTTAATTATAGAGTTACAGAGTAATTACATATTCTAGATACAAGTCCCTTATCAGATGTATACATTTACAAATATTTTCTCCCATTTCATGGGTCGATCTTTTGCTTTCTTGAGTGTGTCCTTTGAAACAGAAGAGTTTAAAATTCTGGTGAAGTTAAATTTATCTGTTTTTTTCTTTCACCACTCGTACTTTAGATGTCATATCCATGAAATCATTGCCTAACCCAAGGTCACAAAGAATTACTCCTATGTTTTGTTCTAAGAGTAGTTTTAGATTTTACATTTAGGCCTTTCACTGATTTTGAATTAATTTTGTAGATGTGAGGTAGGGTTCCAGCTTCATTCTTTTGCAAGTACATAGCCAGTTGTCCCAATACTATTTGTTGAAGGCTATTCTTGCACTATTAAATGATCTTCACACCCTTGTTAAAAATCAACTGACCATAAATTGAAGACTTTCTAAGATGGAATCTGAATTCAATTCCATTGATCTATATATCTCACCTTATTTCAATACCACATTATCTTGATTATTATAGCTTTATAGTAAGTTTTGAAATTGGAAGCATGAGTTCTCTGTTCACTTTAAAAATTGTTACTTGCATTTCCATATGAACTCTAGATCCATTTTTCAGTTTATGCATAAAAGACAGCTGAATTTTTTACAGGTATTTTGTTGAATCTGTGGATCAGTTTGGAAACTTTATTGCCATTTTAACAACATCAAGTCTTTTGATCCATGGGCTATCTATACATTTATTTAGTTTTTCTTTAATTTATTTAAAAATGTTTTATGGTTTGTAGTTTTTATGGTTTTTGATGTGGAAGTCCTGTACTTCTTTGGTTAAATTTATTCCTAAGTATTTTTTGATGTCATTTCAAAACTGGTCTGCTTAACTTTTTTTTTCAGATTGCTCATTGCTAGTGTATAAAAATACACTTAATTTTTACATTTTCATCTTGTGTCTTGCAACATTGCCAAAGTCATTTGTTAGTTTTCATAATTTTTAATGGATTTCTTAGAATGTTCTATATACAAGATCATGTCATCTAAAAACCTGGTTTTACTTTTTCATTTCCAATCTGGATGCCTCCCAGTTTACCTTCCTTCCTTCTCTCTCCTTTTCTTTCTTTCTTTCTTTCTTTCTTTCTTTCTTTCTTTCTTTCTTTCTTTCTTTCTTTCTTTCTTTCTTTCTCCTTCCCTCCCTCCCTCCCTCCCTCCCTCCCTCCCTCCCTTCCTCCTTTCTTTCTTTCTTTCTTTCTTTCTTTCTTTCTTTCTTTCTTTCTTTCTTTCTTTCTTTCTTTCTTTCTTTCGCTTTTCTTTCTTTTCTTTCTTTCTTGTTTTGCTCTGTCTCCAGGCTGGAGTGCAGTGGTGCAATCTCAGCTCACTGTAACCTCCACCTCCCAGGTTCAAGTGATTCTTCTGCCTCAGTCTCCTGAGTAGCTGGGACTATAGGTGCACACCACCACATCCAGCTAATTGTTATATTTTTAGTACAGATAGGATTTTACCATGTTGGCCATGCTGGTCTCGATCTCCTGACCTTGTGATCCCTCCCACCTTGGCCTTCTAAAGTGCTGGGATCTTACTTCTTTTTCTTGCCTAGTTTTCCTAGCTAAAATATCCAGTACAATGTTGAATAGTAGTAGCAAGAGTGTATAGCCCTATCTCCCTTATGTTAGAGTAAGACATTCAGTTTTTCACCAAGTATAATGTTAGCTGTGTTTCATAGATGTCCTTTATCAAGTTAAAGAAGTTATATTCTATTCCTAACTTACATTTATATCATGCAAAGTTGTTGGATTTTAACAGATGCTTTTTCGTTGTCCATTGAGATAATAATACAGTTTTGGTTCACTATTTGATTCATGTGCTGTATTGATTGCTTTTTATATGTTGAAGCAACCTTTCTTCTGGGGTGAACCCACATTGTGTTGTATAATCCTATTTATATGTTGTTGGACCCAGTTTGCTAATAATATTTTGTTACAGATAATTTTTGCATCTATATATATTAGGGATATTGGTCTGTACTTTTATTTCTTGTGATATCTTTGCCTGGTTTTTATATCAGGGTAATATTGACTTCATAGAAAATGTTAAAGGATTATTTTTATAGTGTTTGAGTTGCTGTTTTAGCATTAAATGTTTTAAGTAAGACAATGATGCTGAAGCTTAGAATAAGCTTAGAATCATTAGAATCTTAGATTCTCAGCAATAGAATAATTTTTCAGTGAGCTCATACCATAGCATGATGAATGGATTAGAAAATGCTGGTGAGACTTGGAGTCTGGGGAACCAGCGATGAGATAATGAAATGGAAAAGATAAGCTTCTGAATTGAGGTTGTGAACATGAAGACTTAAAGAAGGTGCTAAAAATAAAAAATATTGAAGAGATATATGATAAATCTTGTTTCTATCTGCTTTAACCTGTTTTTCCTTGGTTTTCAAAGGATAGGTATACAGACCCTTGAGGTTCTTTTATTTTTATTTCTGTTGATGCTCCTGTTCTCCCTTTCTTTATAACACAAGTATTAGGGAAATTATTCTCTTTGCCTTTTTAAAGCTGAGAAAAGATGAATTTTAGAAAATAAACTTTTCTGAAGAACTCATTGAAAACCAAAAGAGAAATAAGAAAACATAGTGTGCACAAAAATGCCTCAAAATACTATTAGTCAAACATATTACAGGTTTCTGACCCCTCAATAGCCAATTCTTAGCAGGCAAGCAAGCCCAGTACAAGGGCCTACCCTATAAAAGGGTCGAACCTGGGTTATAGAAGATGCTTTTTTTTGAGATGGATCTCACACTGTCACCTGGGCTGAGCCTTGTGGGCTCACATGATTCTCCTGCCTCAGCCTTCTAAGTAGCAAGGATTATAGGCACATGCCACCACACCTGGCTAATGTTTTTCTATTTTTAGTAGAGATGGGTTTCACTATGTTGGCCAGACTGGTCTCAAACTCCTGACCTTATGATCTGCCTGCCTTGTCCTGGGATTACAGGCATGAGCTGCCACGCCTGACCAGAAAATGCTTTTTATCTGTTGGATTTACTTTTACCTGCTCTACACATAGTCTTTTTCTGCCATTCTGGAATTCAGAAACTGTGGTCTTATATAGCAACGGTGGGGTGTGTGCATCTACTCAAAGAACTTATGGGCTAGAAATTCCATTCATTTGTGTATTTATCACTAAGGAATCCTTTATCTTGTTATTCCTGAGTTTTCCAGAAAGGAAATGCAGAAAGTGTTAACTGCAGAGATGCCATTCTTGTGGAAGATCTCTATAAAGGTGTAGTATATACTAGAAACACAAACTAGTGTCCTTTGCTTAATGCAGGAAATATTTGACCATGCATGGCTGATATATTTAAATATTACAAGTCATAATCTTAAACTAAGATTTAACACACAGATTTGAATTCCTAGCTTCTCTGTAAAATCAAATTTGACAACATTGAATCCCTGATCTTAAAGGCAACAATTAGTTGGACTTGGGTAGCAGATGCCCCACCTTTATGGGGTATGTGCTCATATTTTAAATTCATTGTGTTTTAGTTTTCTACTTGTAAATTATGTTTAAATTAGAGGATAATAAGGGAACTGTGTGATATGGTTTTTTTTGTGTGCGAATTAAATAAATCAGTATCTCTAAATCTCCTCAAACCATGCCTGTTTCAAAATAGGTGCTATATCAATGTTTGCTCTGCTTGTGATTTTCATCTCTTCCCAGTTAAGTGTAGTTTTGACAACTCTCTATTGTCTTCCATTCATCTTGAGTTGCTCATTTCCTGTATGGCTCCTATAAACATTTGTGTTTTGATCCCTGCCCTAGGCTTTTAACAGTTGTGAATTTGACATCTGGTTTTAGCTACTCTAAAGCCACCCAATATCCATGATTCATTGAGATTTGTGATTTTGTTGAAGCAATAATTAGAATCATTCATGGTGAAAGCCTGGTCAGCCAAAACAAACCACTTAGCCAGTGAGTGGGCCTAGCTCAGCATCCACTTCCCATATGGTGCTGTTCTCTTGTTCTATGCAATAACTCTCCTGAAGGGGTTTTTAGAAGGGGATGTCTATTGTAGTATACATTTGGACATCAATCCATGCCCTCGGTTTGCCTCAGGATCTATAGTGTGTCTTTCACTGTTATATAATGTTATACTTGCTTCCACAATAAACACTCTAATAAAATACTATTCTGTGGCTCAAAAAGTTGGACGTTTGAAAAATAAGTACAATTCCAAATACAATTGTGAATAATTTAGAAAAGAAAAAACATAGGGATCTACTTAGAAATTAAAGTGGCTGCACAGGAAGAACCTAAAAACTCAGTTTTTTAATAGACCTACCTGAAGACAGCAGGAAGAGCATCAAAAATGAATATAAAAAGAGTGTCAGTCACCCAGAAAAACAGTAAAGGAAAGCATAAGTCCAGCAGGAGTGTACTTAAAAAACTCAAACCAAGAATATTACAAAGGGCTTGGGCTGAAGGAAGAAGAGTATGAAGTACAGGTGAGGTCTGCTGCTGCACAAAGATTGATGTGACATTAAGAGATAGTGGAGTGATAGAAGGCAGAACTTCCTGAATCAGGTCTTGTGATCATCTTTTCTGGTAACTGAAGATGTCTGGTATTGAAATGTGTTGCCTAGTAAAGTTGTGAGATTTTGACTATTGCAAGAACTTTAGGGATGTCTAGAAAATTACTCATCAGAGATGTGGTGTCACACAGTCTTACTCTTAGAGCTCCCTCTGCTCAGGTGGATGAGGATGATGAGCTCTTCAGAAAGGCCCTGAATCCCCCTTTTGTACCCAGGAAGTATCCTAGGATGGACCCTACTTTCTTGGTTCCTATATTGCTTCCTCTATAATGTATGCTTCTCTTCCTAGCTTCTTTGGATTAAGGTTTTGCTTGGCTCTAAGCTTTAGATTCACCATAGGATGTAATTTTTTCAGAGCTCTCTTGGGTTTGTTTTACTCATCCAGAGTCCACCCCAGCCTCCTGTCACTCTCCTACAGCTTGGAACTGCTCATCTAGGAGAAGAATTAGCATATATGTTATCATAAATCTAATTACCAAATGAAGAAATATCTTTTTTTCTTTATGATAATGGGCCTATTTTTCTTTTCCATTTGATGAGTTTTACTGTAAGTAGGATCTTGGGCCAAACTGCCCTTGTAGATAGGTTCATATAATTGGAAGACTACAAATTTATAGTATTTGGAGAAAGCAGACAGACTTTCCTAATAAGGGCTTGGGAGAGAAGGTGATTACAGAAATTACAATCAGAAGGGGAAAACATTATATTTTCTGTTGTCCCTCTTTCTTTATACTGGAGTAAGTTTCTTCTTGTTAGCAAGAAGGCATGCTGCTCGGTATTCACCTCCCCTCTGGCAGGTCTTCAAAGACCAGAAAGATCTCTTAGTCAGTTTGACCACAGCAGTATGTTGCGGCTGCTTTCAGGAGTCCTGATGCTGCTGCTATTACATTTCTCATTGGCTTTATAGGCTGGGCTGGAAATGTAAAGTAGAAATGGGCTGTTAGCTAAATGTAGCCACAGATACTGCCTGCCCAGCTCTTGGCTATTTTAATTGGGATTGTTGCTGGATCACAGGAGTATAATTAATGTTCTTCTCTTCCCAGTTGGCATGTTGCCATTAAATAATTGGCTAAGCATTTCCCTTTATAATTCTCAATTTCCTTGTCAAAAAATCATGAAATTCTTAAAATAGAATGGAATGGTCATAATAGGTTACTTATCATGTGTATATGTAATACAGAGGAGTATTGCTGAAACCTTACATTGGAAAGGCAAGGTAGAAGGAAAGAAAGCAGCTTTTTCTTGCCATGAAAAAATATTTCTAGGGCATGGCGTTCCATGGAATATGCTGAATGGACAGTCTTGTGAAACTGAAAGGCAAACAGTGAAGTTCTACTCTACTGAGCTGGCATTGTAAGTAATCTGTCCATCTCTGCCCCGAATCCTTACCTCTTTCTCTGTTTTTAAGCCTCTGCTAACATCTACTCCTTGGATTCTGTTTATTTCTCTTTCTCTTTCTTTTTCTGTATTCTGTAACTTACCATCTGCACTTTAGTTTGTCTCTCTTCCATTCATTTCCACACCACTGGTCCCTTTTCCTCTGTCTTCTCTGTATGTGTACCCGCCTTCTCTGTGTCCATACTGCCCCCAGGCATTTACTCACCATGCTGATATCTTTCACCAGACACCAATGCCCATATACTTCGACACATGATGACTTCCATTGTACCTTTGTTGGTCCTTGTTTCCCAGTGCTGACTCAGTGTGGCTCCCTCTGTAACTCTGTGTTGGTTTCTGCTTGGATCAATGTTATCCCAGGCTGACATGTAAACAAAGCACCATTCAAAGTTGATCCCATAGACCATAAAACATGGAAGAAGATCTGGGGAAAGAGAGGCAATGCCATGTGACTCCAAACTCAGTAACAATGACTCCTTACCCTCAGTGTTTTTCATAAGTACTTGGCACATGAAGTCTTTTTACTGAGCTCTGAGTTCTTCCCCCACATTAACTGTCTCAGTTCTGAAATTTTTAGTTATTGTTTTCTGCTTTATGTTATTTGTACAAATATCTAAATGTTTAAACTTTGGTTTGCATGACTTTCCAATTTGTTCTGGCATTTATCTTCCAACTTAAAACCATCCCCAGCAAGAGCTATTTCCTTTATTTCTGTTCTACCAAAGCAATTTGTTCATATTTTTATTGTGTTACTTTGTCATGTTTTATTATAATTATATGTTTACATATATCACTTTCTTTCAAAGAAAATTTTCTGTTTACTTTCTTTTGGTCAATACCCAGAAGACTATATAGCCACAGAAGAACTGACTTCTTTAAATGTGTAGTAGAGTATGGCCATGACTGTTCTCCAGAAGCCCCTAAATTGATGGAAAAAGAAAATTCCTAGTTCTTGCATTGCAGGTTTAGACGTTTTTTTTAAGCTGCACAATCTGAAATAAAGGAGTCACACAGGCAAGACTTTTGGTGCCCAGAACCCTTGCGATGAGTCTGTATAATGTTCCTTCCCAAGAAGCATAAATATTGCCTTGCATGGAAGCATAGGTTATTTCTAGGCATTTATGTGGCCCTTCCTACATGGCAGTAGGTAAAATCTTTGGAGACTTTTGTTTTGGATACTTTGATCTGTTTTGCTTGTTGCCTCATGCTGACTGCTGGCCAACACACCACTTTAATGCAGGAGGGTCCTCAGGTACTTTGTCCCCTGAGAAACAGAAAGGGGCCTCAGGTAGCTTTGTCTCTGATATGGCCCTTTGCCTCTGTAGTTCTCATATTATTTTGATTTTTGAGAAAGCTTGGGCATAAAACTAGTTAATGTCCATGAGTTTTATCCTCTTATTTCCTCAAATCTAGATTTTATCTTTTTAGGCCTGGTCTAAGATAAAATTTGTTAAATGAGTTTGCCATAAAATCAGTTTGGTGTTTTAATTTTTGTCATATTTACAGGTTCTGCCCTCATTCAGGGTAGAGGATTCTTACATGGGCAGTATGCACCAGAGGGTGAAAATCCATTCTAATAAATTTTTAAAGTATTTTTCCAAGACTAAAGTTGATGATATTTTCCATGGCCTCTTCAACCAAGACAAATATATTTATCAACAGTTAAGGCTGTATTAATGTACAAAATGCAATTCCTTCACTTAAGTAGTTAATCATAATCATATTAGAAAGAAAGAAAATTAGATAGGGAGAGGGAAGTTAAGGTATATCTATGTGAACTGTATGAAGCATATGCAAATACTATAAAACATGATATGTTAGAGGAATTAGGCAGTCTTAGAATAGTATAGACAGTTTCCTGGAGTAAGGGGATATAAATGAGGGACAGAAGCAAACACTGACCTGTGTAGAAATTTTATTCTTCCACTGGTTACTAACTTTAGGTACTTAGGAAATATAGCACCAAACAGGAAGAATGACAGACAAAATAATTGAATTCATGTGCTTAAGGGTGCCATGGAGGGAGAGCACAGGTGTGGAGGGAGGGATCAGTAGGCCATCATAGGGACAGCTGCTGTCCAAGGTTCTGAACTATAATTGGTTAGTTCTCCTATGCTTGCCTGTTTGTCCAAACTCTCAGGAATGGTGAACCAGGTTTGGGCAGAGGTGCTGATAGGAAAAATGGGAGAAAGGGATAGAAAATAGGGAGCAGGAATTAAGATATTTCTCCAGTGAAATAGCCACTAAGAGCTATGACAATTTGCAAATAATTGCAAAGATGGGGGGCAAGCCACAAGTAATCTCAACAAAATTGGATGCTCTATCAATTTTCTATTGCTACATAACAAATTCCCACAAACTTTGTGGCTTAAAACAGCACAAATTTGTGAATGCAGTTTTCATAAGTGAGGAATGGAGGCACAGGTTAGCTGGGTCTTTTTTCAGGGTCTCATGAGGCGAAAGTCAATGTGTTAACTGAATTGCTTTCCTTCCTAGAGCTTGGAGTCTTCGTTCAAGCTTAGGTGGTGCTTGGCAGAACTCTGTTGTTGTAGTTTAGAACTGAAGTCCCCATACTCCTGCTGGTTCCTGCCTAGAGACCACTCTCAGTTCATAGAGGCTTCCTACAGTTACTTGTCACATGGTTATCCAAATCTTTATAAATTCAAGAAGAATCTCGTCATCTTCAGAAACTCACCTAATTGAGTTAGGCCCACCAAAACAATCTTCTTTTTTATTAACTTGAAGTCAACTCATTAGTAACCTAATAATAGAAGTGATATTCCATTATATTCACAGGTTCTGCCTCTGCTCAAGGGGAGGGAATTATATAGGTTGTGCACATTAAGAAGTAGAATCTTAGAGGCCATTTTAGAATTCTGTCTACTACAATGAGCAAAGGAAAAATAAACTTGTGTAAGAATTTCCAGATGAAAATTATATTGATTGCAAGTAGCTAGGTCAATCATAAATAAGAAGGTAAAAAGGAACTCATTGGACATATGCTAGATTATCTTATAGATTCCCAGGAAGAATGGAAAAACTAGTCTTTGGGGAGAGTAAATTCTGGGGAAGCTTGAGAGACCTCAGTTAATAGTAATTTTTTCACAGCACCAATGCTTGGCTTAAAGTAATTTGTTTCACAATTCAAAAATATAAATTTCTGGGAGAGAATTTAGGAATAGGAATCCACCTTACTTCAATCAAACTAAGGAATACTCTCATACTATAAACATAGCTTATGGATCCATGACTATATTGGTTCTAGTTATCAGAGAAATTGTTATTATTGTTAAATGTCCAGCTACCCTAAGATGAGTCTATGCCACAAGTAAGGCAAAATGATGCAATGTTGGCATGTATCAACAATAGTATAGACAGCATGAGAAATATCAACAAGGTGGAAATGGAGTGTTTAAAGTGGTATTGGCAGTTGTTATATTAACATATAACAAAATTTTGCATTTTAATTTTTTCTATTTTAACTATTTTTCTTAAAAAAGTTAATTAATATATCTATTTTTCTTTTATATTTTCAGTGCCTCCATTTAAATACATTTAACCACAGCTTATATTGTTTTATTTATTTTCAATAGTTTTAACATGTTTCCAATAATAGGATACTTAACCTTCTTGCCTTGGAAATGTGGACGTGGGTAGGAGACACTCCCTGTTTCCAAGTACTCTTATACTATGCCACACTTGTGATATGAACAAAGATTGATAGGCCAGGAGAAAGTAACTTGGAAAAGGTTTTGGCATTTTGTGTTAATTATACCTGTCATTGGAATACCCCCTCTGCCATCATACTTTAGCTGTTTGACATAGGGGGGTTTGACATTAGAGTTTCTGATGTTAATAAACAATATTAAAAAATTATATTTGTTGTGCTTTTGCTGAAGCATGAATTTGAGTTATGTGTACTGAGATTGAAGGGCGGTGGTGAGACACTGTTGGTGAGTGAGCATAGCTGACCACACAGACTGTGAAAGCTTTATTTAAACATTCATTTTGACCTTACTGCTGTTATTGTTACTCAGTGCTGTCATAGATTTTATAAGGTAGGAGGAATTAACTGCAATAGTGATATTCACCTTGATTAATTAAAGTCTAAGAATGTATTTATTGTATAATATAATGGCTTTATGTATAGCTTAACATTTACATAATAGATTATAATGTACTTTTCTTTACATGAACCCTCTTGATTCTCATCATAACTCTTTGAAGCAGTCAGGTAAATACTCTTCAGAGAAAAGAACTCAAAGGACGTTCAAACAGAATTTATCAGATTCTGAGCAGAATTCTTGTCTTTTTGACGTCTACTCCTGCATCCTTTTCCTCAAAAGAAAAAAAAAAAGATGCTTTGTATCTGTCTGAAGTGTAACTGCTGAGGAAAATAACAAAAGCCCACATTAATATACCTGTGAGTTCTCAATAAATATTCATTGTGATGTTTAGTCCATTTTTCTCAATTGGGAGTCCATAGATCTCTCAGCTAAATGTGGAATCATCCTAGTAATGTTCTTTCTCTATGGGCTTTGTTCCTAGAAGGTCTTTGAAGCACAACCAAAATAGACTCATCCATTAAAATTATTTTGAAATTTATTTCCATTATGGGCATTAGGGAGAAAAGATACTGAGCAGCAGAAGAGAAGTGATGCAGAGCTAGTGACAGGTGGGGCCTTGAGGAATTCCTGGGGATCCTACAATGCAAGACACCAGCCTTAATTAACAGATAAGTGAATGGTATGCAATTGTACACATAGTTTGGTTATATCTTCTACTCTTTTGTTAAGTTTACAAAAAATACTGGGCATGAGCATGTTTGTGTGGGAATGATATTGGTAACAAAGAGGGCTGGAAGGGTCAATGGTATATAATTATTCCTACATTCCTTGTTGAGCCTTAATATTATGAGCTAGTGGTTAGTCTGTTGACTCACAGCTATGTTTTTCTTCTAGTTGTTTGATGTGGCAGGGGTTCTTTTCTGTAAGTGAGAAACAAATGAAATATGAATGCAGTGTCTCCATTTTGTACAGTTTAAAGATACAGTAATGACTACTTGAACATAATGTTGCCCTAGGGCTCTGTGTACTCCTGAAAGTCTATTGTGTTTAAGATGTGTATAAAGCCTTAAGGCAATATTGCACCATGAGAAAAAAGATTTGTACCCTGGCAATACACATATTGCTTTAGTGTCCTTTCACATTGTCGCATCCTTTATATTAATGTCCTTTCCCATACTTAGGTGTTTACCACCTGTGATGTAGGTTTAAGAGAAAAGGACTTGCATCTTGAGACGATTTTGTGATTTGGTGAAACTCTATCTTTGGTGCTTTTCATGCCCTCTTTTTAATGTTTGGTCTTTTTGTTTTTGGATCTCTCTCTTTCCTTTTTTTCCCCAGCACAACCATTTTTCCAAGGTCTATTGAAGAGAAAGATTATTTTGTAAATGAAATCACAATAAAATGGTGGTGATTTGGGGCAAATTTGCATTGAAAAGTGTAAGTTTAATCAACCAACTATTCTTGAGCACTGGGTTATCCTTTCACAGATGAGGAAGTGGCCTCAAAGGAGATCAGGAACTTACCCAATTAGTAAAGGATGTTAGTGAGATTTGTCTTCCTCCCAATTCTGATATAACTTCATTTTCTGGTAATGCTTGTCATTGAGAAAATAATTTTTATAGACAGAAATTCTAATAATGGGATTTATGGAACTCTAATAGATGAAGGTTGAGAGGTCTTGAAAAGAACTCTCAGATCAAATTGGGTTTACTTATTATGTTCAAGGAAATCTCTACTGCCCAGAACAAACTTTGGTAATAAGCAAATCCTGCTTCTCTCACTTCATTAGAGAGGGCTCATTGAAAAAAAAAAAAAACAAAGTAGCAGTGAACTGTATGTGCAAAACCACCTCTTCTATGCCGTCTCGGCATCTTTTGTTTTCTCCCTGCAAACTTACCACAGCCTGGAGAGGGGATCTGGTCATGCTCAGCATGGGGAAGTATTAAAAAAAAAAACCTATATTTCATCTTTCTCAGGGAAGTAGAACCACTCTTTACCTGCCTGAGAGTATAATTAGGGGTCTGTTGGGAGGACTGTTGGGTTGAGGCTATGTAAGAATATGTAGTCTGGTATCAACCAGATCCAGGTTCAAGCCGTGACTTTGCTATTATTAAAGCCCTGACTTTACTATGGGACTTTAGGCTAATTACTTAATTCATCTTCACCTACAAGATGGAATAATATCAGAGCCCACCTCATGGCCTTGTTGGATGGATTAAGTAACGTAACGAATGTAAAGTGTCTGACATAGAAGAAGTGTTTGATAAATGTTAATAAATTTAAAAATTCTAATTTGAGTGACTCCTGTGTGTGCTCCATTGGATTGTTCCCTTCAGCTACAGCTCTCACAGTGTGGCTTGCTTCTGAATGACTTGACCTGATGAAAGAGTGAAAAAAGTTGTTGTGTGTGCATGTAGGAGAGGGCATATACCTGACTAAATAATACAGATACTAATATAACCAGTGTCCTAAGAAGACCCCTGGGTATCCTTCTCTTGAGCCATAACCTATGAAGGAAATTCTGCTTAGCTCTGCTCTGGGAGGGTAAATGTGCTATTTCCTGCAGTCCTGGCTGTGTGTTTTGTGTTCCAGGGTTAGCTCAGCCCTCTCCTGGCCTGTCTCTGCAGGGCTGTCATTGTGTGATTCATAGCTCAGTATTAACCACAGATGAGGGAGGATTGGATAGGGGAATTTTCTTTCATGTGACATAAAGTAACTGGATCAGGGTTTTTCTATAGAAGCATTAATTACCCTTGTCAGTGTAACCAAGAACAAATTTTACTTCAACCAAGGATCGTGGTATTTCATTGGCATCCAGTGAATGTACAATGAAGGCTTTGCCATTTATCCTTGGGTATAATAAATCTAGAGTCTTTTGAGATTTATGTTTTCCCTCATTCTCTTTAAACTGGTATGGTATCTATTAGTATAAGCACACAATTCTGGAATGTGAGACAGGACGAAGGTTATTGGTGACAAGACTAGATTACCAGTGTGTAAGTTTTTTTTTTCAGACTTTTCAATTCATTGTCTCTCTTATCCTTTTTTCTTCTTTCTGCTTTTCCCTTTATTGATTGTGAAAACTAATGGAATGTAAGAGTTGGAAAGAGACTAAGAGATCATCCAATATTTTATAAAGAAAAATTGTGAAGGACAAAAATTTGGTGGGTGCCTGTGGTATTGTAAAATACATATTTGATCTTCAATCCTGTTTCTTGACATTAAACTCCTAAAATCCTTAGAATCTTCAAAGCGATGTCCTTTTGTATACTAATGATTCACTGGTAGCTGGCAGCCCCTAGCAGCTTCAGGATAGGGGATAGTACCCAGAAAAATTAAGGCAGGATTAGAGAGTTGGGGCTTTCTGCCCCACCTCCTTTTTCAGGCCTGAAGGTTAAGTTGATCACCAATGACCAATGGCTTAATCAGTCATGCCTATGTAATAAGGCTTCCATAAAACCCCAAAGGACTGAGTTCAGAAGGCTTCTGAATAGCTGAAAAAAATAGAGGTTCCTGGAGAGTGACGTGCCTGGGGAAAGCCTGGAAGCTCCATGCCCCTATTCCCATACCTAGCCCTATACATCTCTTCATCTGTATTCTTTGTAAAATCTTTTATAATAAACTGCTAGCATTTCCTTGAATTCTGTAAGCAACTCTAGCAAATTAATCAAACCCAAAATAGGGGTCATGGGAGCCTCTACTTAACGCTGCTTGGTCAGAAGTTCTTGTGTCTGGACTTGCACCTGGCGTCTGAGGCTGGGGAGAAGAGGCAATCTTGGGGACTGGATCATCGACCTGTGGGATCTGACATTATCACCAGATAGATAGTGTCGATTCAATTGGAGGACACCCAGTCGGTGTCTGCTACAGAGTTGATTGCTCCCTTGATGGTGGGGAGATACCCCCTAATACTTTGGGGTCAAAGAAGTCTTCTGTGTTGACTGTTGTTTTCTTAGTATGTGAGCAGAGGAAAAATGGTTTGAGTTTTTCCCAATAGCACCCTAACTATTGTCTTTGATAATAATTCCTGACCATAGAAATGCATCCAGTAGAATAAAATGGATTATTATTCTAGATATAGGTCAATTTTACTAGTTTTGCTTTGGTAAATTCTGCATTCCTTATCTAACTACAATGTGTAACACACTGAGCTTTCTGTTCAACTGGTTATTCATACTAGTTCCTTCATAAAAATTCTGAGTCCATTTTCATTTTACATATGCATGAATAGCATGATCTTTCTTTTAAAAATAGTTTTAACATTATAGATAAGAAAACATAAAAGAAAAAATGAATTATACAAGCTTTGTTCCACATTTGGACTCAATTCTATGTTTTCTATGCCTATCTCTAGGAACTAATTTATATCATGTATTCTTCTGGACTATCTGTCTGTATTCTATCCTTCCTAAATTGTCCTTAGTCCTTTAAAATTAGACTATGTCTACAAAATACAATGAATTTATAGCTTCAATATCAGCTTAATATGTATCTTTTTTCCCTTCCTAATCAGATGTGTAGGAATTACTTAGCAAATGATGGTGGAGGTAACTAACTATATGGTGTATGCTCTGAGGAACTAATGAGGTCCTCTTCTCTGTCTCCCTCATGCTTTTCCCCCCATTTCCAAAATGCATCCCTTGTCTGACTGCCACTGACAAATTGGAGCATACCAATAGAGTATCATTTATTTTGGCTGGAGGTACTAGACCTAAATAAGATACAAATACACTTGGGAGTAAATATAATACCTAATACAGATTGGCTGATAAAACTATTTCCAGTTTGAACTCAGATAGAAGAGAAGACTGGCCAAAAGGATGTGGGCATCTGGTATTTGGGGGAAAAGTTTGTTCTGCTGCACCTACTATCACACGGTATCTGCTTTGGAGTTTCAGTGTTTAAGATAACCAACTTCTACTCTCATGTCTCTTAACCCCTTAATCATTGTGCCTCTATGTATATTTTTCTCTTTACACAGCTTAAACTTAATGGTGAGAGCTTTCTGAAGACTGAAGGTGATGGCTGTTAAAACCTCTCAGATTAATCTCTGGGAATTTTAATTTAGTTGGCAAAGTCATATTTTTCAGCCAAATATCAGGGGCTTCAATTTTTAGAACATTATTTTTCTTTAACCCATTTGGCATTAACAACCTTCTTATACTTATCTGTTTAATTTTGGTGCCCAATCTTCTCCTGTAAGTTTTCCCACTAGATCAAACAATAATATATCATTCTTTTAGATCCCAAGTTTCTGTGTAGTCATTGACACATCTATCTACCAGTTTACTTAAGCTCAGCTAGAATCATCTCTAGTCATAAGGAGGCAAATATTCACAAAGCCTTACATATTATGGGATTACACAACACATTTTGGAGGTACTTAATTTATGCAGATCCTGGCTTTCTGCATTCTCATACTCTAATGAATACCTATTCTTCTGTATTACAGGAGCATTTTAAAATTTCTTAATTAACTTTCCTTTATCCCTTCCTCCTTTTTCCTTTACTTTCCCTTCCTTTTTTCTTCATTCCTTTTCTCCTTCATTGAGTAAGTACTTCCTAAGTTCCTAATGTGTATTTAGCACATTGCTAGGCTCCATGGAATATACTGTATCATTTAAATTTTAAAAATTCAAAGTTTTAGAGGTTACATAGCCTTATAATGTACAAAAAATA